GTACCACTGCGTTTGTCATTAAAATTTTTGAATTTAACGCTTTTTCTTTTATCTTTTCAGTTTTTGGTGTCATATTTAAGAAACCATTGCCTAATCTAAAGTCATAAAGTTTTGCTCCTTTTTTAAAAAAAATAGTTAATAGTTTTAACATGTGAAACTATCATTCATTTTGATTTAATTTATGTAGATGGTGTGAGGCAGGGCGTCTAATTTTATTCTTTGTATGTGGATATAGTTTTCTCAGAAGGAAATTTTTTACCATTTTTAAAAATTTGATTATCTTGGCACCCTGTTGACCAAAAAAGTAAGGATTTATTTCTGAACTCTCAATTCTATTTCACTGATCTAGCCTTATGCCAAGACCACATTGTCTTGATTACTGTAGCTTTGTAGTAAGTTCTGAAAACAACAAGTTTGAGTCTTTTGATTTTTTTTATTTTTCAAGATCATTTTGACTCTTCTGGGTTCCTTGTGTTTCCATATAAATTTTAGGATCAACTTACAAATTTGTTTTTACTTTTTTTAATTATAAATATTTTAGAATTTAATGACCATGGGGAAAAGCTTATTTAAAAAAGAATAAAAAAGGCATAAAGGGGAGTAAGAATCAGCTCCTTAAGATACAAAGGAAGGTCTGCCAAATCATAAGGTCTTCAGGAAGTGCTTGCTTTTTAAAAAATTTTTTGGTACTGGGGGTTGAACTCAGGGGCACTCAGCCACTGAGCCACTCCCCAGCCCTATTTTGTATTTTATTTAGAGACAGGGTCTCACTGAGTTACTGAGTTGCTCAGTGCCTCACCTTTGCCGAGGCTGGCTTTGAACTCGCAATCCTCCTGTCTCAGCCTTCTGAGCCACTGGCATTATGGGAATGTGCTACCATGCCTGGCAGTGCCTGTTTTTTAGGAGCCAGAGCACCTTGACCGATAGCTGGCATTGGAGGGGACTGCAGGCTTTTACTGGTGTCCTTCTGGCCTGACCAATTTTGCCATCTAGTCCATCTCCTTTAGTGCTCGCCATCAAACTGCTCTAGGCGACTGGCTGATGTTTTTTGTCTCTGGGTCATTTTAATTGTGAAATCCCACTTCGCTTCTCTCCAACTGTGTCCCACTGTCCTGAAGCCATAATCATTTTCAACATGAATAGACACCAAGGTCACAGCAAGACTGTTCAAATACAGCGTGCCCAGCTCTGCTCCCAGAGACTCTGACCTGGAAGACTGGCATGGGGCTCAGTCAACATTTTTTTTAACACACATACTTTCATATGATTTTAATGTATGTAGGCAAACACCAGACCATGTTTGAAAAAAAAGTCTTATATAAGGCCTGAGGGTTTTTGTTGTTGTTGTTTTAACACTAAATATTTGTCCACTGTCTGGCCCTTGAGTTTCAACTAGGGGGGATCCATGGAAGACCCTCTGGGCATATCCTTTGTCCATTTCTTTGCTATCCCACAAATTGATGGGGCTTCTACCTTCTGATCCATTATGTGGATCCAAAATGGGGACAAGGGATATGGCATGGGGTGGGGACTGAGACTCTTAGTGAAGTCACAGAGATGAGTTCCATTTTTACTGGCCAGGAGAAAGGTGCAGGAGATTTATTATGGATGCAAAGGAAATATTATGCATTTCACTCTGTTAGACATTTACTGGAGTTCTTGAGATGCAAATATTTATTAAGAAGATTTCGGGACTTGTGGCAAAAATTTTCCTTCTGTAATTTCTCAAAAGTCTAAAAGCCTCCGGATGAACCACGTGGGCGCCTGCAGGAAGGCAGATTGCGGAAGCAGCAGATGGGGCTGTGGGGCATGAGTGGAGCTGGTTGGGGACAGTGGGACTAAAGATGTAGGAGCCACATGGGGACACTGCAGAGTGCTTCTGAGTATGAGGGCAGCCCAGAAAGATTGTAGAAAGATGAAGTACCTCCCAACTGAAGCCAGATTTTCTTCTCCTGGGGGAAAGAAGAAGAAGCGCTATTTCAACCTTCTCTTGGGTTTCTACTGTCTGTGGGAGCGCGCGAACACTGTTTCCTGGACCTTTAGAAAGCATCTCCTGAGATTGCAGATGCTCTCATGAAAGTAAAAATTGGTGACAAGGGAGAAGAGGAGGGAATATTTTGAAAGTGGGTCTCTATAGGGACGGGGAGGATAGAATTCCCTCTTCCTGCATGGACTCATGAGAAGCCTGAGCCCCTGGAAGCAGAATGAGCAACAGAGGACTGGGAAGGGACAGGAAGGGAGGGAGGTGAACACCAGCCGCAAATTTCATGTTGTAATTTTTCTTAGAGTAGATTGGCCACTTTCCTTTCTTCCATAAACCAGGCTGTTAGTCAGCTACATTCCTGAAATTCTACTTCGTAGTGATTCTTTTGAATGAAGAAGAGAGGACTTCCCAGGTCGGATAATACTAGGTTTTGGTCTACACCTTTGATGTTAGGTGTTAGGAAAGCAATCTGATTAAAGAAATCAGGTTGCCTAAGGAGATGGAGAGTGGTCAGAGTTGTCCCAGCCCTTTCTTAAACCATTCTACCTTGTCTACTCTGTGTTTGGCCTTGGCATGAAGAGATGAAAAGAAGAATCAAGGCTGGGAGAGGTGGTGGCACACGCCAGTAATCCCAGCGATTTAGGAGCCTGAGGCAGGAGAATTGCAAGTTCAAAGCCAGCCTTAGCAACTTAGGGAGACCTTGTCTCTAAATAAAATATAAAAAGGGCTGGGGATGTGGTTCAGTGGTTAAGAGCCCCTGGGTTCAATCCCTGGTACAAAAAAAAAAAAAAAATCAAGTTCTACGTGGTTATTTTAAGAATCTTTAGAGGGATATTAGAGTTACACATTCTTTATCTTCTCCCCGCCCCCATCATTTCCTGAAGTGCTTTCTTTGTTTTTATACAGTTAAAATTATTTGTAATTCTTGCCATTATTTAACCCGTATATTTCTTTGCAACCCCATGATACTACTTCTTGGAAAACACTGTTGGGGCAGCATTTATATATTGACATATATACAAAGATACAAACTCGACGTTCCCCCAAAGAAGCTTGTATTTTCAGCTTATAGATCCTCAGTGGGTGTTTTGGGAGAGAATGACTGAACAATGTCTGCTGTCCACTAACTTGCTTTGAAGTATGATCTGTTTTCACTATACTCTGTTCTCATGTATGCAGTTGGTTAATAGCGGGACATCGTCATCCACTCATCCCTTAAAAATTAAAGGTGGGGACATTGCTGAGCACAAAGGCAATATATAGGTTTCTTGTGGGGGGAAAAAGCCAAGGTTCTCTGTACTGCCTCTTTCCTGCAGGATGAGGAGCAGCAAGAGATGGCTGCCTCTGCCGCCTTCATTGACCAGCATTACGGGCACCTGATGGACACTGTGTTGGTGAAGGAAGACCTGCAGGGTGCTTACAGCCAGCTCAAGGTGGTCTTAGAGAAGCTGAGCAAGGACACTCACTGGGTACCTGTTAGTTGGGTCAGGTAACTTTATCCCAGAACATCCAGGCTGGAGGGGACCTTGAAGACCATGTAGTCCAGCCTCCCTCACCTTACCATCCAGAAACCTCAATTCAGAGAGGGGCAGAATTTTCCACAAACTCCATCATCGAGAAAAGTAGAAATGGAAAGTCTTGTCTGTTGTTGGCTTTTGTCTGTTATTTTTTACTTGCACTCCTTTAGCTCATGAGTTAAAAGGGGCATGTCACAAAACCACACGTCATTCATTAAAGTATCCCAGGCAAGTGGACCTTGATTCTTTGTACCAAAGTTAAGTAGCCACTGTCTTATAGTGGTGGTGGTGGTGGTGGTGGTGGTGAATTTATAGAGTACTGATTTGCAGCAATGTTTAAGCTTTATGAACAGTGAAACTGCATTTATCCAGCTCTTTTGGAAGCTAAGATGTATCCAAGGGGATTTTTCATGCATCTGAAGTTCCCCTGTCTTCCAGCTCCAAACTTGCCTGGTAATAGAAAAATTGGTTCCCTGCCTTTTTAAATAGTGAGCGTACATGAATTCTTTTCTGGAAGGCTGAGGCACACTTAATGGTCCACATGACTCACTGAACTATTCTATAAAGCAGTAGTGCCTTTAGGGACTCTTGAGGAATGTAAGGCTGCTTTTCCCCTTTCTGAATACCCTCATGCTCCTAAAACTGAGTCCTTGCTTTGTTATTTGGTCTATTGCATCAGTTCTCCCTCTTGTTATCGACAATGGCCTTGGTTAACTGTCCTCACCTTCAGGTTATTAGGGCTCCTGTTCTAGATCATAGGGAACGGGATGACCCCCGCCCCCATCAAAACTATGTCTAAGCCATGATAAATCAGTTCTGCCAAAATAAAAGTATATAGACTCAGAACATGGGCCTGATGGGTTGTCTCTGAGCAAAAGTGACTAATGTCACGCAGCTTTGTGATCCATTTTAGCTGCTCAGAGGAACAGCCGATGTGTTTTTTTCTGTGTTGAGTGCAATGCTAAGACCTTTACATACACAACTTTCACAAATACCTCAAGCCAGTGAGGTGGGATTCTTATCATTTCAGTTTATAATTGAGATAAAATGAGGCTTAGAAAGCTTAGCTGGCACGGTGGCGCATGCCTGTAATCCCAATGACTTGGGAGGCTGAGGCAGGAGGACTGAGAGTTCAAAGCCAGCCTCAGCAACTTAGCCAGGCCCTCTTTCTAAATAAAATACAAAAAGGGCTGGGAATGTGGGTATGTGGCTCAGTGGTTAAGCACACCTGGGTTCAATCCTGAACCAAAAAAAAGAAAGAAAGAAATTTTAAATAATGTACCCAAGCGTACACAGCTTAAAAAAAAAATGGCATAGCTGTTATATTTGAGCCTAAATCTTCCTAATACCAGAGATGGTTCTTTTTTTTCTTTACTTTTGGTACCAGGCATTGAACCCAGAGTCGCTTAACCACTGAGCCATATCCCTAACCCCCCTCTTTTATATATATATATGTATGTTTATTTTTTAGTTGTGGTGGACATCTTCATTTTATTTTAATGTGGTGCTGAGGATTGAACCCAGTACCTCTCATGTGCTAGGCGAGCGCTCTACCACTGAGCCACACCACAGCCCCCAACCCCTTTTTAAAAAATGTTTTTTAGCTGAATGCAGTGGCACACATCTGTAATCCCAGCAGCTCAGGAAGCTGAGATAGGAGGATCCCGAGTTCAAAGCCAACCTTAGTAATGGTGAGGTGCTAAGCAACTCAGTGAAACCCTGTCTCTAAATAAAATACAAAATAGGACTGGGGATGTGGCTCAGTGGTCAAGTGCCCCTGAATTCAATCCCTGGTACCCGCCCCCCTCAAAAAAATTTTTTTAGTTATTAATGCACCTTATTTTATTCATTTATTTATATGCAGTGCTGAGAATAGAACCCAGTGCCTCACACATATGAGGCAAGCGCTCTACCGCTAAGCCAGCTCTCCCAGCCCTTTTTAATATTTTATTTAGAATCAGGGTCTCACTGAGTTGCTTAGGGCCTCACTAAGTTGCTGAGGCTGGCTTTTAACTTGGTGATCCTCCTGCCTCAGCCTCCCAAGCCATTGGGATTACAGGCATGTGCCACTGCGCCCAGCAAGAGAGATATGGTTCTTAACCACTATGTAATACTGCCTCACTCTTTTGTGGCTCCATACTTAAAGCTACCCATTAAATAACTGACTTACAAGGGAGGTGTGTTCATAGCTGGAGTTAGCAATAGTATGTAACATGTCTGTAGCTTCTAAGACTGCAAAGAGGTTGCTTACACATGTCTACATTTTCAGGCTCTCTTTTTACCCCATTCTGAGTTGAAATGTACTCATGAAGAGATAAAGGAGACCAGGTCACAGGTGAAGCACCAGGGAGAGGGTCTGCTGCCCATTTAGAAATTTCTATTTTACCTTCTTGTACAAGGACTCTGTGCAACTCTCTAGCTCACTACCCTGGCAGGCCCAACTACCAGGATCATATTCTTCAGAACTTTCTAGCAAAAGGTTGGAGACCTCCTTTTGCTTACAAAGTATTGGATTCTTATCAAGGGAAATTGGTCTTGAGTTATTCCACAGAGAACCAGGCCAGGGAAAGTCGCTGCCCCATGAAGGGTAGGTGGTAAGTGCAAAGTTGTTAGGCAGGAGACTGGTATCTGAAGTCTACTTCCAGATTGGCATGGTGGCTCATGGCTATAATCCCACCGATTTTGGAAGCTGAGGCAGGAGGATTGCAAGTTCAAATTCAAGGTCAGCCTCAGCAATTTAGCAAGAGCCAGTCTCAAAATTTAAAAAGAAAAAGTGGGGGTGGGGGGAGCTGGAGATGTGGCTTAGTGGCACAGCATCCCCAAGTTCAACCCCTAATACCCTTGCCCCCACCCCTCTCAAAAAAAGTCTACTCCCAGGCAAAAATACTTAGATAAAAATAACTTTTGAATACCCTGTAGGGAGGGCACCATGGTGGAGACCCTATGAAGTCTCACCTGAGTGATTTGTCTTCCAGGGTTGGCATACAGTGATTGGGCACCAGATAATGATGTTTTCTGCATTTCATATTACTCAACAGACATTATCTGCTTCTTACTCCATCTTTTTACCCAATTCTGAGATGAAATGTACGAATCTCTTTACATGTATTATAAGCAAGGTGTTAAAATGAGCTTGCCTTATTTCCTGTCAAGGTAACCTTCTTACCCTCAAGACAAGCTGGTCTACAGCTGTTTGTCTGCACCAGATCTTTGGGAGTAGAAAGAATAGGGCCTCAGGGACAGAGGTCATTTAGAAGGCACGTTTTTGCAGTCTGTAAAAAGCAGAAAAGTGTTTTTTTTTTAATGCACCTGTTTAAAATATATACTGATGTGATATATGTAAATGCAATTCTAAATTCCATTCCAACTAGCAGTATGTAAGTTCTGAGCCCTGAGGGGAAATGTTTGCAGAAGTTCATCGCTGTTTCAAATCTCATTGAAACCCCTCAAGATGTACCTTTTGTTTTCATGGGCCTTTAAACACAGGTAAGTCCTCTTCCTGTTTCTAGAGCCAGAGGGATTGTGAACTCTGGAGGAATTTTCTAGGTCAGGGATGTTAAATGAGTGGCATATGGGTTGCCACTCGTTCCTGCACCTGTAGCAGGCGTTACTCATTGATCACAGCACTCTCCTGTCAAATCTAGGCACTGCCTTTGGATCTTTCAGGACAGTGTTCAGTATCAATTGAGCAGAATTAGCAAGTGAGTTAATCTTGCTGCCAACCTTGATCCAGTGATGAGTAGCCTTTCCTCCACCCACTCCACTCCCTGCAGGAAGTGGGTTTAAGAAAGTTACAACCATCTGTCATTCACACATGGTGCTCAGATGGGAGCACATTTGCCAATGGTGCTTTTGCCACTGTATGTTCAAATACACACATGCTTTAAAGCATATGGACAATCGCATTGCATCTACTTATTTGGTGTCACTTCATCTATACCACCAATCATATTTATATCATCCAGACAATGATAGATCTTGCTGATTTATTTAATAATTTAAGATTTTCAGCATATGCATAAAGCTCATTTTAAAATCAGTTAGGCTGGGTGTGGTGGTGCACGACTATAAATCCCAGAGATTAGGGAGGCTGAGGAAGGAGGATCACAAACTCGAGGCCAGCCTCAGCAACTTAAAGAGGCCCTGAGCAACTTAGAAAGACCCCGTCTCAAAATAAAAAATAAGGGCTGGGGTTGTGGCTCAGTGGCAGTGTGCTTGCCTTGCACATGTGAGGCCCTAGGTTCGATCCTCAGCACCACATAAAAATAAATAAACAAAATAAAGACATTGCATCCATATATAACTAAAAAATATTTATAAAAAATATAAAGGTCTGGGGATGTGGCTCAGTGGTTAAGCACCCCTGGGTTCAATCCCTGGTAAAAAAAAAAAAAAAAAAAATATATATATATATATATATATATATATATACACACACACACACACAATTGGAAACTGTGCAAAGAGAAACTATGGAGGCTTGAAAGAAGCACCACACATTTTTATTAAATTCTGAAAACAAGAACAATCAATCTTTCTTTTTTCCTCCCTTGTGCTGGGCATTGAACCCAGGGCCTCATATATGCCAGGCAAGTGCTCTCTCTGCCACTGACTATATCCCCATCAATTTGGAGTCCTGCATTTGGTGTAATTATCCTAAAAGGATGAAGGGGAATAAATATGTTATTGGAAGAAGGGAAACACAATTTGTGGAGACCTTCCTTAAAGGTAATTCTCCAAACAAAGTAACAGAGGAAGGCGGGGATCCTCAGAAAGGAAAAAAACGACAAAACAGAAGAAAACAGTTCACTATCATTCACCTCATGAGTTTCTTTATTTTATGGTTGAAGCAAAAGTAATATCATCTTCTGATGTAGTACTCATACTTTATCCACAAGGTACTGTAGTACTCAGAATCTTGTGGAGGAATTCAGATTATTATGTTTTTAAAATGAGGAGGGGACGCGGGCTGTGGCTCAGTAGTGGAGCTCTTGCCTAGCATGCATGAGGCACTGGGTTCGAACCTAGTGCCTCACATGTGCAAATAAATAAATAAAACTAAATAAACAAAATAAAGATATTGGGTCCATTTACAACTAAAAATATTTTTTTTTAAAAAAGTAAGGAGGTATTTTGGTTTAGATATGTCCTCTGGAAGCTCATGTGTGAGACAATGCAAAAATGTTCAGAAGCACAATGATTAGATTGTGAGGGCTTTAACCTAATTAGTGGATTAATCCATTGATATGGATCAACTGGGTGGTAATTGCAGGCAGGTAGGGTATAGCTGGAGAAAGTATGTCATTGGGGGTTTATATTATGTCTCTGGTGAGCCAGGCTCTCTTGCTGATTCCTGGTTGCTATGTCCTGAGCTGCTTTCCTCTGCTATGCCCTCGTACCGTGATGTTCTGCCTTCCCTCAGCCCCAGAGCTATGTAGTCTGCCAACCATGGACTGAACCTCTGGAACCTGAGACAAAAATAAACTTTTCCTCTGCTAAGTTGTCCTAGTCAGGTATGTTGGTGATAGTGATTCAAAAGCTGATTAAAGCAGAGGACAAAAGGATCAATTAAAAGGCAGTGGGCCAGCGTGGTGGCCCATGTCTGTAATTCCCGCTACTCAGGAGGCTGAGGCAGGAGGAATGCAAGGTTGAGGCCAGTTTAGGCAACTTATCAAGACCCTGTCTCAGAATAAAAAGGGATAGAGATGTGTCTCAGTGGAAATGCCTGCTGAGCATGCACACAGTGCCCTGGGTTCAATCCCCAACACCACACACACACAAACACAAAATATTAGCAGAATAGATGAGAAAACGATTCAATGACATGCTATCTACAAATGTATGCTTCTTTAAATGTGATACACAGGTAGGCTGAAAGTGAAAATATAATCATCTATCATGCAAACATAAATGTTAAAAAGCAATAGTGCCTATATTAATATCAGAGAGTCAAATTCAAAGAAAAAAAAAGAAATTACTAGAGACAAAGAGGGACATTATATAATGACAAGAGAATCAATCCAACAAGAAGATACAGCAATCCTAAATGTGTCTACACCAACACCAGGGCTTCAGAATAGATGAAGCAAAAACTGACAGAACTGAAAGGAAAATTAACCAAATCCACAATTATTGCTGGGGATTTTGACACCACACTCTTGCAATAATTGATAGAACTACTAGATAGAAAATCATCAAGATCTAGAACTGAACTGTAGCGCCTAACAATGTTTATGGAACACTCTACCAATATTGACACAAAACATGTTCTCTCTCACTTTTTTTTTCAACTTTTTTTAAAAAATATTTTTTAATTGTTGATAGACCTTTATTTATTTATTTATATGTGATGCTGAGAATTGAACCCAGTGCCTCACACATGCTAGGCAAGTACTCTACCACTGAGCTACATCCCCAGCCTTTTAAAAATGTTTTTTTGTAGATGGACAGAATATTTTTATTTTATTACTTATTTATTTTTATGTGATGCTGATGATCAAACCCAGTGCCTCATATGTGCTAGGTAAGCACTCTACCACTGAGCTACAGCCCCAGCTCTCTTTTAAATGCC